CATTTCGATAGTTCACACTGATACAATATGTTACTACGATTAAAAAATTAAATTTGGCACTAACGTTTTTGTATTTGTGTGAACGGTGAATCATTACTTTAGTATCACACTGACACAAAATGAAAGTGTACGTATGGGATATAACGTTTGGGGTAGGGGTAACTTAATTAATAAGGTTAATTGTGTATATATACTTGAAAAGAATAAAATGAAAAGAAAAAAGGGATTTGGTAGGAAAAAATTAGGGGAGGAAAAAGCTAAGGTAGGTAATTAGGTACAATAGGTTGGGGTTTAGTGGGAAATGGTAGTGTCGTTTTTATGCCGGGTTTGGGGGAGAGTTATTATTGAATAGGGTAAAGGGGAGAAGGATTGATGGTGGTGGCATTTATTAAAGTCTCTTTTCTCTCTCTCTCTCTGCTACGCCGCCGCCATGGAAGTCCTGCGCTAGCTGCAACCTAAAAACCTCAAATTTAAGACAAACAAAAACTCCCCCCATACATTCATTCACTCACTCATTCATTAATTTAAAGAAAAGAATGGAAATAAAGAAAGAAAGAAAGCAGAAGCTACAGTGGCAGTAGTAGTAGTAGGAGTAGCACAGTGAGTTTTATTTCTCTCTCTCTCTCACATGTCACTGCTTAACTATAGTTTGTCTGGAGCAGGGCAGAGGGGAAGTGTGGGTTATTGTGCAGAAAATCTTTCCACTCTCCTCCTACAGTTGTCTTCCAGTTCGCCATATAATCGCGGCCCTTGCATGCTCATCCCACGGCTCAGGACTGCCCACGTGGATGACCGCCAGCTTTTTCTCATTCGTCCCTACACCGGAAAACACGGTCTACTTTTTTATTGACCGTTCCCCCTCCCCCCACTACCCTCAATACTCATCCCTCCCCCAATTTTAGGATGAGCCCTCAATGTCTCGAAAAAATATTGTCTATTTTCATTCATTATTAAATAAAAATAAATACCCCCTCCGTTTAAAATGTACTCCATCCGTCCCAAAAAGTTTGTTATGTTTCGAAAAAACTGCGTCCCGTAAAGTCCGTTACATTTCTATTAAAAAAACCACTTTTACCCCTTACTTTTTCATACCCACCTATCACATCATACTTTTTTTCTAATAATCTACCCATCACATCCTACTTTTACCCATCACATCAAGGGTATTTTTGGAAAGTCAATACCAAAATATCTCTCCCTTAATTTCCCAAAAAATCAAACCTTCCCATTCTTTTTGGAACGGAGGGCGTATGAGTTTCTAATTGTTTTATGAATTGAGCGAGTACTTAAGGTTTCTTCAATAGTAAATGTTCTTCTTATGTATTCCTCCCATCCCAAAAATAAAGTTACGTTTTATTTTTTACATCTCGGATAAAACACTTCTATCTTGTCTCAAATACCAAAAAAACTTTCTACCCACAATAAAGGGTAAATATGATAAATTTTAGGTATTTTAGATATGGATAAAAAATGTTTTATTAGATGTGCAAAAAATGACACGTAACCTTTTTTGGGACGGAGAGAGTATTGTTTACGCGTTCAAACTTTTTTGCATTATTTGCTTTGTTCCACCACTCATTTCAAAACAATAACTTAATTTTTTAAAACACTTCTTATATTGACTTTTAGCATACTCTCTCCGTTTCTTAAAACTCTTCCTCTTTCATTTTTTTTTGTTTTTCTTAAAACATTTCCCCTTTCTATTAAAAAACCACTTTTACCCATACGTTTTCATACCCTACCTATTACATCATACTTTTTCACTAACAACTAAACTATCACATTTTACTTTTATCCATCACATCAAGGGCAAAATTGGAAAGTCAACTACTCCCTCCGTCCTATAATGATCTTCCTAGAGCACTATTCCAACTTCACGGGAATTTACATTTATTTGTGCTTTTTCATGGCCTATATGATAAAATAAAATATTCTTGTCACCACTTGTTTTGTTAAACTTTTGATGTAGTTTTTAAATATGTATGTTTTATTTTTTATTTCTATACCAATATTTAAATAAAATAGATTGAAAAAACTTGGGATTTTTCTTCGTTTTGCGAACCGAGAAGATCATTATATGACGGAGGGAGTACAATTTAACACTTCCTTATTTTCTCCCAAAGTCAAATGAGGAACTCTTTTGAGAAACGGAGGTAGTATAATTTTTTGAATTGATATTTGACTTTTCAAATATACTTTTTGAGTCAAAGAAAAAAGAGATAGTACAAATTAGAGAAAGGATTTTCAAAAATGTATTAGTCACTTTATTCAAAAGTGAAAAGTATTTTGTTGAAAAAATAAAAAATGAGAGAAAGGATTTTCAAAAATAGAGGGAGTGTAATATAGTCCTATCACGTCCTCTTTCTTTAATTTTTTCTATGTATTTTTCAATATGCAGAGTATAAAGATTAATTAAAAAATTCATCCCAATTTGGAGTAAAATAGAACTCTTATCTCCAAAATAAGAGCTTTATATTTTTATCTTCAAAATAGAAGTTCAAATCGACTGACATTGGGATATTGTATATTATCATTTTATAATGTTTTTTTGTCTTATATGTTGATATTATTACTATTGTAACTCCTACTTTGAGGATACAAAATATGAAACTCTATTTTCATATTTTCTACATGTTTTATTACTATATTTTTTGTATTTCCCCCCAAATATAACTCGCTATGTCCCATATGCATATCTTTCGTTTTATTTTAACTTTTGTGATCAATGCAATGTTTTTAAGTTTTATCATTAATTATGGAAAAAAATACCTTGAATTTTGTAATAAATTTAATATCAATAGATTCATAATAAAAGGTAATTATGAAATAGAATCATAGTTTTATAATCTATGTTTATATTGTATACAACTAGAGATATTAATGATCAAAATATTGATTGAGAAATCGTAAAAAGTCATATCAGAAAAAAATGTGAAATTTGAACTAAATAGTAGTAAAACATATGTCATTCCCCGATATAGTACTTAATTTTTTTGTTCCCTAAATAGTACTTGAATTAAGTCTAGTAGCGGGGTCAATGTTTGTTGATGATGGATATTTAGTTTGAACAATGTCAAGTGGCGGTGTACATTTATTTGAACGATGACCAATAGACATGACCAGTGGTACTATATTAGAAAATAAAAACATATGGTATAACATTAGAAAATAAAAACATATAGTACTACACTGAGAAAGTACTATATTTTAGTACTATTTAGGTAAATTAAATTCCCAAAAACGATATGGGACGAAGGGAGAATTTTATTGTTCTGTACTTATAATCAACTAAAATGAATTGAAAAATATGTCACACATCGTAGGCCGGAGAAAAAATAACTGGTATATAAACTCTTGAATTTAATCTTTTATGTGTTTCAGCTCAAGTAACTTATAATCTAGTCTAGTGATCCATATCTCAATCTTATATGGAGTATTTTATTATGGCATCAGAACTTTGTTGACGTGGGCATCAGTTTAAAAGTCATTACTTTCAAATATTAAAATAGTAGTGTCATCCCATGACATTGGTTTCCAAAGTCATGGGAACCATGGGAAGAACAATTCTAGAGGAGAGAGTATGTACTCACTAATTTTGTAAAAAAAGAAATTTATACTCCGTATAATTTTTAAATACATGATTAGATGACATCCCCCAATCTATTAGAAAAAAAAAGATGAGCCTCATCCCTAAGGTTCTTCTCAGACCCAACCGGACGATCATTGAGGGGAAGTAAATTGAACTTTAATCATAGATTGATGGTAGAAATTTAAAATATTGTACGTAGAAGTTGAGAATATTGTTGTTCTAGATTTTGGTTGCCAACCATCATTTGAGGAGGCCTTGGAGAAAGTGTGATTGATGGTCAAAAGAGAAATCTAGAGTCAGAAATACTTCGTTCACAAAATACACAACTTTGTCATTTGTGCACCTCACCAAGTAAATAAAATGATGTTAAATAATTAAAAAGTAGACATTTAAATACACAAATAGTAAGTTTGTGTATTTTATGATCGAAGTGCTTGTGACTCTAATCAATCAGATTTGAATATAGTAATTTGTGTTTTAGAATATAAAAAATCTATTCTGATCTTTAACCACAAGTTTGAGATTTTAGTTAAATTGATTCTTTACTGTGACGGATCTAGGAATGAAATGACTAGAGGCAAGAATAAAGAAAAGATTTTAGTTAAATTGATTCTTTCAATTAAAAACTTAAAATATTTAAGTCTTTTTTTTAAGTAAATGCAGAATGAGAAAACTTAAAAGGGGCATTTTGGTTTTTAATGGGGGCATACAAATATTTTTGTAGAAGTATTATCATTACTTTTTTTAAAAAAAAGGGATAATAACACTACTAATTACGGAGTAATTTTTTTAAACCACTTGGGGGTAAGTGCCCCAGTTCTTTGACATGATATCAAAGTTTTGATGACCAAGAGGTCACAAGTTCAAAATTCACTGTGAGACAATTTTAGAGTTAAGGTTTAAAGAAGTCACGCCTGCATGTGATGGGCATGTTAGAGTATACATAAAACTCGTTCTTAAGCAACAACCTCAAGTTTAAATTTTTGGTTGAGTTGGTTCC